CTTGGCAATACAAGGATAAGACCCCAGATCCCACAACCTCATCATCGAGCTGTAATGAGGGTGATGCACAGCAGGGTCCAGGAGACTTCCCCAAGGTCATGCAGCCAGTCAGCGGGTGTTAGCTTTGAGGCAGGGGTGAAATTTGTTCAATAAATATTGGGTTGGCCGAAAAGTTTGTTTGGGTTTGTTCGGGAAAGTAAGATCTTATGGGAAAACCCAAACGAACTTTTTGGCCAACCCATTATATAATGAGTGCCTACCATGTGCCTGGCATTGCCTGGTTGCTAGGTGCAATGGACAAGATGCAGAGAGAGGGCCTTTAATTCTGGAAGTCTCCCCTTTAGGGGGGCAAAAGGGGAAGGCTGTGGGAGGAGAGGGGTGTACGAAGACCACGTGACTTTGCACTCCACAGCATCCAAAATCTGCCAAGGATTGAACTGGGTGTGAGGTCTCACAGGGCAGAGACCCTGTCCTACTATTCTTTGTGCCTCTGGGGCCCAGCACTTAGTTGGTGCTCAGTGAACTCTGTAGAATTTAATTGATTCTGCTCTGAAGAGGAGTCCCTGCAAAAATGGAGACATAGGGGACAGTCTGCATTCAAAATGGTACAATAACAAGCAGTTGGCAAAACTGCCCAGTGAAGAGGCTTCTCCCTCCCCTCTCTCTTCCTGTCTATCTCTATGGTGACCATTACTAGGACTGGTCAAGGTCAAACATGGTCAACCAAGCAGCAATGCGCCCAGGGACTCCAGCAGCTGCATCTTGGGTTATACTATTGTGTGAAGAGCTTTTGTATTTCACATTATGAACTTCTCTACACGATAGCAAAGTCTTTTGTTATTGCACATACGATAAAAATATTAAATACATTTCTAAGAAAGAAAAATAAACCACCCCTTGGCCACAGGGCTGATTTAATTTTCACATTTGCCTTCCAGCCTTTGTCTATATGCAGCATATTTTATACTCATTGGTAATCACAGTGAACATACAATTTTGTATTCTGCTTACAAAGCCTTTTTTTTTTTTTTTTTTTAAGAGTTTTTTTGATGTGGACCATTTTAAAAATCCTTATTGAATTTGTTACAGTATTGCTTCTGTTTTATGTTTTGGTTTTATGGCCACGAGGCATGTGGGATCTTAACCCCCTGACCAGGGATTGAACCTGTACCTCCTGCATTGGAAGGCAAAGTCTTAACCACTGGACCACCAGGGAAGTCCCTCTGGGGTATATTTCAAATGTACCTTCCACTTTACCAATTTTCCTTTCAGCTATGTCTAATCAACTATTTAATTCATTCACTGAGTTTTTCATCTAAATTCTTGTGATCTGCAGTTTTAGAAATTCTGTTTGATTCTTTTTCAAATTGGTGCAGGCATTCGTCATCGTTCCTTATCCTGCTCATGTTTTCAATCTTGTCTCATTACTTTTAAGTTCACTAAACTTTGTTAGCTGACACTCTGCAAACACTGCAGGCCTGATTCTGCTGTCTGTTGTTTCTCTTGGAAAATGCACATGATGCTTTATTTCTGTGTTCTTTGTGCATTTTCTCCTCTGAGCTCAAGCTCCCTGAAACGTTATACTGGAGAATCCTGAGACCTAGATTGAAGGAGAGGAGTGGATTTGCTTTCGACTCTGCCCTGTCATTGCCTCAGCAGGCGTTACAAACTACTGACCCAAGACTGCATTAACATATGTGTATGGATTGTGGTTTTTGAACCACAGATGTGGTGCGGATTCAGGCTACACACTCACAAGAACCAGCTTGTGATTTCAAGTACTCAGCACCAAGTGGAGGCACAATTTTCCTTGCTAACTTCTTTCATGGAGCAGGTTATCTGTTTTTGCCCTTACACTGTAGAGTCAAGGTCTGGGGCTACCAGCTTGCCCCTCACCAGTATAAATAGGGGTTTTGCCTCAATACTAAATGGTCACATACACCCATATTTTTAAATCATTTTTAAAATTAAAGTATAGTTAATTTACAATGTGTTTTAGCTTCAGGTGTACAGCAAGGTGGTCCAGGAATATATATTCAGAATATATATATATATATATATATATATATATATATATATATGTTCTTTTTTTCCATTATAGGTTCTTGCAAGATATTGAATACAGTTCCCTGTGCTATACAGTAGGCCTTTGCTGTTTATCTATTTTATATATAGTATTGTGTATGGTTAAATCCCAAACTCCTAATTTATCCATCTCCCCTCCCCTGCTATGCCCTTTGGTAACCATGTTTGTTTTCTATGTCTGAGTCTGTTTCTGTTTTGTAAATAAGTTCATTTGTAACATTTTTTTAGATTCCACATATAAGCGATATCATATATTTGTCTTTCTCTGTCTGACTTACTTCATTTAGTGTGATAATCTCTAGGTCCATCCGTGTTGCTGCAAATGGCACTATTTCATCTTTTTTATGGCTGAGTAATATTCCATTATATATGTGTGTATATATATATATATATATATATATATATATATGTACCACATCTTCTTTATCCATTCACCTGGTGACGGACATTCAGGTTGCTTCCACATCTTGGCTATTGTCAATAGTGCTGCTACGAGCATTGGGGTGCATGCTTCTTTATGAATTATGGTTTTCTCTGGATATACACCAGACTACTGGATCTACTGGATCATATGGTAGCTCTGTTTTTAGTTTTTTAAGGAAGCTCCGTACTGTTCTCCATAGTGGCTGCACCAATTTACATTCCCACCAACCACGTAGGAGGGTTCCATTTTCTCCACACCCTCTCCAGCATTTCTTATTTGTAGACTTTTTAATGATGGCCATCCTGACCTGTGTAAGGTGGTACCTCATTACAGTGAGGTTTGGATTTGCATTTCTCTAATAATTAGCAATGTTGAACATCTTTTCATGTGTTTGTTGGCCATTTGTACGTCTTCTTTGGAGAAATGTCTATTTAGGTTTTCTGCCCATTTTTTTATTGGGTTGTTTGATTTTTTTGTTATTAAGCTGTATGAGTTGTTTGTATATTTTGGCGATTAATCCCTTGTCAGGAGCATCATTTAGAAATACTTTCCCCCATTCCGTAGGCTGTCTTTTCACTTTGTTTGTGGTTTCCTTTGCTGTGCAAAGCTTTTAAGTTTAATTAGGTCCCATTCGTTTCTTGTCTCATATTTTTTTAACCTCTTGGAATTATTTTGTGTAGGTTTGTCTCTTTATTTGCTGTCAGCTTTAACTTTCTGCTTACAGCACTCCCTGACTTATCTGGCATATTAGATAAGCACTCAATAAATACTAATTGAGCTAATGAATAAATTAACCTTTCAAAAACTAAGCTTATTAAAACTGTCTGAGGAAAGCAGGAAT